TACACTGAGTTAATGCCCTAACCTAGGGGTGCGCAAAAAGGTTTAATCGCTTTTATCAAAAAGTACCTAATAATTAATAACTTTGATTATCTTTTATAAACTACAAGCTGACCCGCGACGTAGCATACGCCGCTATTTAGTTCCAATTTTTTAGTAACTCATTATTTGTGAATTCGACACTACCAATGCTGTGACTGAAAATATTTTGCTTTAAAACACTATTAGTAGCCAGTGAAGGACGATTATTCTCACCCTCAATTTCCAGTCCTCACCCCCCCCCCCTCCCTCTCGCATCCGTGAAAGCAGCCGTCTGTGACGACAGTTTACAGACGACAATGAAAAGAGCAAGCAGTACATGTTATCATCTCCCCTTAATTTCAAATAGTTTTAAAACTAAATTATCTGCCCCTAATATCCTCACTACGATTGTAAACAGCTCACCAGACTGGTGGGGGTGGGGGTGGTAGTGATATGGTCTGTTGAGCTTACGTCATGGTGGTGTCTTGCATGGTCCCTACGTAGAGATATTATATATGTTACGGTCAAAGCCCGAAGTCGGCCAAAGCGCGGATTGGCCGGCCAATGCGCGCATTGGCCAATATTGCCTCCCATTGAACGGCCAAAGTCCCAAACTTTACTTCATTTCGGCCTTTGGCCGGCCAATCCGCGGACTGGCCATGGTGGACCGGCCAATCCAAATTAGAAGATCATCTGGCTAGGGACAAAGTCCGAATTAGAAGATCATGAGCAGATTTTGGATTTTTTTATACCGTAAGAATCATAAAAATTAAGTCTTTGTTGATTATTATTTGGAATTACATTGTAATTTTTACACTTGGAACGATTTGTTGTGCACTAGGTTGTGCAATTGCAGTAAATGTAGCCTTGGCCGCCGGTCAGTGATTGTGAAGATGCGATGGTTCGTAGTGATTTTCCTCGGTGCCAACGGGTGACAATGAAAGCAGTTTTTCGTGAAGAATTGAAAACTCACTTCTAGCTTATAGTTGTTTAAATACATCATGTTACGTTCCTAGCTTGTAGAAAGCGCCCTCGACGCTCATGCCAACTGCAATCACGCTTCGGGGATCACCGCGACCTCTGTCAACATCTGGACTACGGATGCTACCAGTATCTTTCACTTCAGCTTGTTTAAATTTTGTTAGCATCTTAGCACCTTGAGTTAGCAAGGTAGTATGAGCTGCTGACCTGTTGTCCATGGTTTCTTGTTTATTGTGACATATACTGCGAGTACTGTTCCCTCCATACCCTTCGTCTGCTTCATTGGCTATTCCGCATATTGCATGGACATCGTTGCCACAGGATCCACAAGAATGGGCTGAATTTCCATATTTTTCACAAAATACACATCGATGGTCTCGGTCGCAAACCGTCTAACTCCGAAAATGTAAATTTTACAGGAGAGACAAAAAACTGATTATTTCCTTCTCGATCGCTCTAATACAATTTTTTTTTAAAGATATATCCGAAGAAACTCTCTACCGTCTATACTGTAGCGTTTTAAAATGAGTTTTGTTGATATTTACAAAATTATAGCAGGTTTAAAAAGATAGACGGTTTGCTCGGTCTAAAATTCTCGGTGCAAACCGTCTATCTGTGCGCGCGCAGAAATATAATTCGAATTATATTGTTTTGATTGATATTTAGATTCTAGAATGAAGATCTAGTTTCAAAGCATTGTGTTAGCCTAAAAAAATGTAAACAAATCAGTTTGGTTATTGAAAATCTGGAAATAGGCTATATTAAACAAATACTATTTGTTTATTATTCTTTAAAATGATAAAATGTAATAGAATAGTTGAACATAATTAATCAAATATCCTTACCTATAAGTACTGTGACTGCTGTGCTGTAAAATTTTGTGATTACGGCGTGCGACTGCGTTCCCGATCAAAAGTGTACTGACAAATATAGCGATATTCGTTTTGCGCCGAGATTTTTAGCGCTAGAAATAATAGGCGGTTTGTTCAAATGATTATATCTCAATAATCATTATACAGATTTCTCTAATATTTTCAGGCATTATGGGGAATCATATTGGCTTTTGATTTATGTAAAAAAAAGAAAATCGAATATTTTTGAGTTAGACGGTTTGCGACCGAGACCATCGACATAATCTGTTGGCCTTATTATTGTCACGCAACTGGTCTGGACGTTGCGCCACGGCAGGAGATGTGTTAGTTGAGGATGTCGTTGCATTTATGGCAAACTCAGTTTCAAGAGAAAAGGCTTCTAAGTCTTGATTTCTCTGACTTTGAATTATAAATCTGTTCTGGTGTATTGAGTTTTGTAATGAAGGGGTGTTCAAAGTATTGCACTTGTTAGGTACGTTTTGATGAATCGTTTAGATTTGGGAGTAACGGCGGAAGGGTGTTGCTGATATGGTTTCGTAGGTATAAAGTATCGAAGTGTTAAAGTGTCGTATTTTATATTTGGCTGTTGTGTAGTTAAAAGTATAGTGGAATGATTGGTAGTAGTGAAATGAGAATGTAGGTGATGAGGTATCGTAGTTCTGGAGTTCAGGACTATCGAGTCTTGTTGTATTAAGGCATCGAATTGTGTTGACTGTTAATGTGTAGTAGTAGGTCCAGTTAAATCGTTGTTGATTGGGAGTATCGTTTGTAGAGCTTGGTGAAGTTAAGTGATTTGGTGTCGTAGTTCTGGAGCATCAAGTCTAGTTATGTTTAGGTATTAAAGTTTGGTATGTGTTGTTAATGTAGTAAAGTCTATCGAGAAGTCGAGTTTATTGTAAGTAAGATGATTTCAATTCAGGACGGAACACACTACAAAGAAAGGTAGGCGTTCTCTTGCTGACAATCTTTAGTTTTTTGGGAATCTATATTACCACTCTTAAAGTACTAATATATAATATTACATAGGCTGGAATTTATAATTTACCGTAGGCTTTGTTTTTTTTTTCAAATAATACTTTTTTTTATATTTAATCAATAATGTCTTAAAGCTAACAGTTTCCTGTATTTGATGTTTTTTAAAAAGGCGTCCCCTTATTCAAGGGATCCAAAATTTTTACATTTTTAGTAAATGAAGAACATACACTTGAATGTATGTCATCAATATTAATTAGAAGTATGTTTCTAATAAAACTAACGTGTTTAAACTTTCAAGCAAAACCTACAGTTAAGTAGTTAATGAGTAAAATATATTGTTTTGACATGATTACATAGGTAATATAAAAGATTTATTATAATTATTACGTAATGAAATTTAAACAGTTTCATTGTGTTTTTCAAGCATGCCTTAGTTACCCTTGGTTAATTTAGCTATTCTTGTGAAAGTTATTTCCCTTTTATTAAACTTTGGTATTTGGGTTTCCAAATGGGAGATAATTTGTTGCTTAACTTTACATTCGTTTCAAATTCCTGCATCTTAGATGGACCGCTGACATATAAATACAACTTAAAGTTATTATTTGCTTTTGTTAAAATTATATAGAGCAGAAATTCCAAACAAAAAAGTTTGGTATGATTTTTTAGCATTATCCAGTTGAAAAACAAATATATCAGTAGCCGTTGTAGATTGCAATACCTAATGTTAGTAGACATACAATATGAGATAGTGGAACAAATGCGTCTAAAATAGTCTAAGTCTAATTAATTATCTAATTAATTGTCTTTTTCATATTATTCACCCTCTCCTAAAGGATTTATATATAACAATTGTAGGCTGAAATCTATAACATTTATAACCTTTAATTTTTCAAAAGCAAAAAAAAAAATCGTAACATAATTATACAATATAGACATTTTACAATTATAACAAATAACAGTTAAGCTTAAAATAGGTAAGTTCCGTCCTGGAACTCACCTTGGGAGGTCTGCAGAGAGCCCAACACTACAAGAACTGTGTTTTTTCCCCGTGTTTTTTTCTAGATTTTGTTCTCCCAGGAGAGAGGGGGGGGGGGAAGCACTTGAAATTTTCTAAGGGGGGAAGGGGTGGGGGCTATGTCATTAAGTACAAAGTACACTCGTGGACAATTTTAATAGAATGTTATTACGCTTGCCAACTGGAATTGAAGGATTTAGTACAAACTTTTGCGACGAAGGAAGCAAGTAAAATTTGATTTTGATGTCTACTTTAGATGTATATTCAATTGATAATAAAGTAATATGTCACTTTTAATTAATTGTTTTCTTATACATGTTTTAGTAAGTAATTTAAGTGAAAGGGGGCGTTGTAATAAGTTTTGGCTAGGGCGCTAAATAACCTGGCGCCGGCACTGCCAGAGTTTCTTCCAGGCATCTCTTTGGGAACGTAATGGAATGTATATAGAAAATATATACATTTAATAGTGTCCGCCCCCTCCCGAAGAAAGTCTACCCCCCCCCCCGAAAATTTCTAGTGCCCCCCGGAGAAAAAAGTCTGGAAGAAACACTCAGCACTGCCTTACCTATTGTTTCTACTGTAGAGAAATCTATTTTCGGGTGACGATTCGGCAAGTTAAAAACGATGTGTTGTTGAGTTTAATTGGAATGAGGGGTGGGGGTGGGGACTGGGTTCTACTGGTATAGCTGTTAGAGTGTATGCCTAATTCTGGGATTATTGCAGCAATTACAGCCTCAGCGAAGGTTAGGTTCAATGAATCGATTACATGCAAAAAAAAGTTTTGAAACAGCCTTACCGTGTCGAGGCTTTAAAAAAAAAAAGCAAAATCAGCAGTTGGGTGGAGAGTTAGTTAGAATAGAATACATAGGTCTATAACCTGTTTAAACCTCCCTTTCTCTCCCACTCATTCTAACCCTTCCCTCGTCTGTCTTCCAGAGGCGTATCTAGTGGAGGGCGGGTGGGGTGACCTCCCCGGGCGCTGACCCAAGGGGCACCAGACGGGAGAGAAAAAAATATTTAAAATTTATTCTGAGCTGCTTTACTGTATTATTTAAAGTAGAAATTAAAAATATAAAATGCAACTTGGCTAACTTAGGGGGGGGGGGGCGCACAATTGATATTTCGCCCCGAGCGCCGGAATGGGTCGCTACGCCTCTGCCCTCTTCTGCCTTCTCAATCTACACCCCCCCCCCTCTCTCAGACATACAAGTGCCATATAATATATGTGTGGTTCTAGGGGGAGAGACCGATGATGGTAAAGTCACCGGAAGTTGTGAGATTTATGACCCGGAAACTAACCTCTGGTCCAAATGCGGATCTCTCTTGTCGCCTCGGTCTGGCTGCGCATGCGCAAACAACGGCAAAGAATTAATTTGTGCAGGAGGATACAACGGAGGGAAAGCTCATAACAACCTTTGGTATTGTTGTGAACTGTTGTTTTTTTTATTTGAAATACTTACAAAATCTGTCCTATGTTCCCGTAGTGGTAGTAATTAGTATGACGTTGTTTACAAGGACGATGGTTATAGTTACCGTAACATCATCGTGACGTCATTTATTGAGAGTTCATCCATAAATAACGTCACGCTTTTTTTTAACGATTTTTACCTCCCCCTCCTTTCCGTCACACATAGTCACAAAAAGCCAGACTCCAACCACCTAAAATGACGTCACACCACACATCAGTCTACAACCCCCCCCCCTAAAAACTGCAGTTGAATTTTTGTTAAAATACGATATTTTTCCACAATCTTGTCTGAACTCTGTTAATATACAGTATTTAAATCAATTTCTTTTACAATTTATTAAAAACGTTTTTTAAAAACGCAAATTAACGGCTAAAATTCTTTTTCTAACATTGCTTTTTTTTATATAAAAGTGTGACGTCACACAATCTTAATTCCCCCCCCTCACCCTGATCACACACCGTCACAAAATAACGGACCTTCCCTCCCCCCTACGCAGAGGTGTATCGACCCTTCAACCTTTCAATTTATTTTTCCAACCCTTTTTGGCGCCCCCTAAGGTCGGCGCCCGGGGACATATGCCTCCCCCCGCGCTACGCTACAGCCACTACGAGTGTGACGTCATTTATGGATGACTCCTGACGAAATCCTATTCATTCTTATTCTACCCATATTGAAGTGTTTTCACTTCAAAGAAATATCTCTGCTCAAGAAATTTGTTGACTGAAGTACATTGAGATACTATTCTATTTTCTACTGTAGGCTGTATGACAAACACAAATGGCAGGAAATCGGCAAAAATAACCCACACGGTTTTCCATACAATCTTCACAGATGTGCGCTGACAAGGGCGAAAAACACTTTGTATTTTATAGGAGGTGACGTCAACTTGATCAAAGTATTGTATTAGCTGTTTAATTAGAGATATAGAGAGAATGAGTGGAAAGAATTTGGTTAGGTTTTTTTAATATTTATAATGCAAAACTGCAGCTAAAATGAGCTTTTAATTTTTTTCAACCCATTTTGGCACCCCCTAGGGTCGGCACCGGAGGACATATGTACTCCCCCCCCCCCTTCGCTACGTCTCTGACGTTTGGTCAAGGTTATATGTGTGTCGGAGGGAGGGAGTCAGTTAAGCACCTTGTGCAAAAATATAAATTTGAGAAAATTAAATCAACATTGTGATTCTCAAATAGGCATATATATATATATATATATATATATATATATATATATATATATATATATATATATATATATATATATATATATATATATATATATATATATATATATATATATATATATATATATATATATATATATATATATATATATATGTAGTATGGTTTTCTGCAAGACTATAGAAATGAGTTAATAATTTCTCCATTACGCGTATAACAGGAAAGCACCAGAATCTCTGGACCGCAAGGCTCTTCACATTAGTTTGCTAAACTATTGATTGGTTAAGTAATTAAGCCGGCGAGATGCTGATTCATTGTTGTTTTTTCGGCACTTTGGTCTCTAAAAGGGAAACAGATAATCGAATCAAAGCTTGTTTTGGTTAGGTTTATGGGCAATACTCTAATTACGGTAGGAGTAAAATATCTGAACCCTCTCACCCCCAGGGGTATCGTCCAAAGACCACCACCCCACCAAGCGAAGACCGTCCTCACCCCTAACCGTGACACAGTCTGAGAAAAGAATGTTCTCCTATACAACTGCTCCAGCGGGCGCTACGGTCAAAGGGCGGCAACCCAGTGTATCTACGTTAAATACACAGTTACCGCCCATGAGACACGCAAGACAATATGCAGGGGCGGTTAATGTGGGTAAGTACATATTTTGTTTTAATATATAGATCTACATTAGGCAGTCTGTTTAGACATATATGTGCCAGTAAAGATTAGTTCATGTAACATTGAGGTATTTTAATAATGTATGATATTTCTTAAGAGATAAGATTGTGTTGTTTACTCATAGCCTGTAGTCACAGTTGCCCTTTAACTGGTTTTTTTTTTCGGACACATTTTAAAATTTCCCCGAGGGTGGGGGGGGGGCGGGGAAAACTGTGGTTAAAGTAAAGTATATATTTTCTATATATTATGTCCCCTTATTTCGTCCATGGGGGGGGGGGGGTGGTGGCTCAACAACAAACGTGATATCTACTGATGACCTTCAAAAAAAAAATTACAGAAATAAATTTTTTAAAAACTTTATTTTAACTAGGTAGTAAAAATAGCTTTGTAAAATACTTGAATCAATGAATAAAAACCAAGATGAAATAATTTACAGGTGAAACTCAGATGAATTAATAATTTTGAGCTAAGAAAATCAAACAAACAAAAATTCATCAGTACCAGTTTTCCCTTACATATTTTACAGATTGTATAACATTAATTTGAGTATGAACCAAGGGCGTTTCTTCAGGGAAGTTGAGCGCCCCCCCCCCCCCCCCCACCCCCCGTAGAAAGTCCACCGCCCTCCCCCACTCCCCAACGAGAATTTATATAGAAAATATATACTCTTAACAGTGCCCATCCCCCCCCCCCCTCAGAAATTTAAGTGCGCCACCACCCCCCCTCCCCCTGAAAATTTCAAGTCCCTCCCCCTCCCCCCCCCCCCCCCGAAGAAAAAAATGGAAGAAACACTGTATATGGAGAAAGTTATTCGTTTGACATTTCAACATTTGTGCACGAATTTATCAAACAAAATGATGCAAGAATAGCTGAAATCCGCTATATTAATTCATGTACACAAAAAAAATAAACCGGGAGTGATCTCCCCTAAACTTTCTCGAATATTCTTATACAAAATAACAGGGGATGGGAACTCGGGCTATAGACATGATTTTTAATCCATTTTAAATAGCCTACTTAAAGTTTTAAAATAGAATAAAATCTCGTAGACAAATTAATTGCACACCAAGTGAACGCCAAATAAAAAAGCGCATAATAGTGCGCAATATTATTAGTACTTTTAAAATTTACATTAGTTTTTTGAGAAATCGGAAGTAGCGTAAATTACTACTTCCGGTCAACGGAAATGACTCAAAATTTAACAGAAGGTAGAAAATTAGATCTTTTACTTACATGTGAAATTTCATTTATCTATCTGAAATAGTACTCAAGTTATAGGCTTTTGAAAATTTCAAAGTAGAAAAAGTACCACTTCCGGTTATCGGAAATCGCTCAAAAGTTGATACGGATCTACGATTTTGATAAAATACTTATATATGAAATTTCATCAACCTAGCAGTAACGGTACTCAAGTTATCGTGTTTACACACGGACAGACAGACAGACACACAGACAGACACACAGACAGACACACAGACATACGGACAAGATTGCAAAATTATGTTTTTCCGTATCAGTGAGGTGTAAAACGTCGAGATTTGTAAAAATCTCGATTTTTTTTTTTTTTGCACGATTACAAGACTTTCTCTATACTACGTATATACGAGAAAGTAAAAAAAAAAAAAAAAAAAAACAAACAAAGATAGATTCTTGTCTGCAGTAGTTTTACATGAATTATCTAGTCACCAGCCCGCTTTGCTAGTAAAAAAAATCTATTGCTCGCACTCTCAGTAGCCTATAGGGTCATCCATAAATGACGTCACGCTTTTTGGACGATTTTTACCTCCACCTCGTCACAAAAAACCAGACCACACCCTCTAAAATGACGTCATACCTCAGCCTACAACCCCCCCCCCCCCCTCAAAATTGAAGTTGAATTTTCCATAAAATACGATATGTTTCCAAAATCTTGTCTGAACTCTGTCAATGTCAACATAAAGTATTTTAATCAATTCCTATTACAATTTATTAAAACAGTTTTCTAAGACGCGAAATAACGGCTAAAATTCGTTTTCTAACATTGCTTTTTATAATGCAAAAGTGTGACGTCATACCATTTTTATATTTTAATAATCAAAGTGAATATCGGTTTGAATTATCATTAAATACCCATCTTTTCATCCCGCTTACCATTTACAACTTCAAAACAAGGGAGGCTATAAATTAATTGTTTATTAAAAACCGTAAATAACACAGACAAATTCAACTGCAATATAATTTCTTTTAAAAAGATTCATTGTTTGATACTTAATTAAACGTTAATATTAAAACTACTTTATAATTATTTTGAATTTACTATTTATTGATTGTACACTTATTATTTGACTCTAGTCTAAACTGAAAACTTTTACCGTTATGAAATATTGTATTTGTACATAATGCAAGTCTTCAATCATAATAACTACTATCAACAAGTTATAAATATAGTTATAAAAGACCCCTAAAATGTTTTTATAACAAAAACAACATGGCAAGCATGAACAGCGAGACAGATGATGATGATTATGATTATAGTTCAGAAAACTCAGCAGGAGATAGACTTTCAGACTTAGAAGATGACAGACATTCTGACATAGGTACAGAAGGAAATCCACAAGAAAATGTTGAAGAAAAATCTGGAATGGCCAGTGTTGTGGCTAGAATCTTATCTAAAGACATTTCCAAAAGCAACATAGTGTTGCTTGCAAAGGGAAAGACAAATAAAGAAATATTGAAAGATATATCAGACAGAAAAAGACTAAGGGAAGAAACTAAGGATGGAGATCGCCTTACAAAACCAAAGAATTCAAAAAAGATAGAAAAAAGAAGTGAATTTTTTAAAGAAGAGAAGAGGAAAATATGGGAATCAATGGGAAGAGAAGAGCCATCAGTACTTGATAACCCAAGAGAGGTTAGGTTGAGAAAAATTGCCACACAAGGTATGGTTCAGTTATTCAGATCTGTAAATGAACACCAAAAGTTGATGAAAGAAAAGTTATCTTCCGTGGGGCCTTTAGAACGAAAAAAGGACATGGTCATGTCAGAGTTTACAAAAGGAAAATTTCTTGATCGTTTGAAGGGGAAAAGCCCCCAGATTATGGATAATGATGATAAAAAGAAAGGCAAATGGAAAATTTTACAAAATGATTTTATGTTAGGTGCAAAGATGAAAGATTGGGACAAAGATGATAATAGTGATGGAGATGCCAATGAAGAGTCCATGGAAGACGATGATTTATCAGATGATAATTAAGTTTTTTATTAAAAAAAATGTTTTTATAACAAGCTTTTATGTTATAATGGCAAATTATAATGCACTAAGACAGGGGTCGGCAACATTTTCCGACGGAAGAGCCAAAAGATGCAATTTACAAAATTTACCAGTTCTTAAAGAGCCACAAACGTTTTTTAGTACATTAAAAATAGGGTGTACCTAAATATTCTAATAGAATAGCGAGTGATTATTGTTTAAATTTATTATTTAATTAATTAACAAGTGTTGCAGAACAATATTTTGATGAGTTTTAAAAATAACATAAATTAATTATTAATATTTGTGCATGGAGCCGAGGAGCCGCAACTTAACATCAAAAGAGCCGCATGCGGCTCGCGAGCCGCAGGTTGCCGACCCCTGCACTAAGAAGTAGAAAATAAACGACACACTACTATTTAAATAGTTATAAGACTTGAAGACAATGCAATCTGAAAATAAATTTGACTTAATTGGATGCCTAATTAGTTTTTTATGAATTAATTAAAATTTTGACCAAATTAGTAGGCATTTCTATCCAACCACACCACATGCGTCATCACGTTCAATAGCGCGTCATCACGTTCAATAGGTTTTTAGTCTTGAAACTTTATTGTAAATAAAAACATGAAGTAATAAAACAAAATTTCATAAAAACCTTTTAATAACAAGCTTTTCTGTACTAATGCACTAAAAAGTAGAAAATAAATTAGACTACTATTTAAATAACTATAAAGAAAAGCGTGGGTCTCTTCCTAAACATTAGTAAAGGTACCCAATAGATACTAAAGTGACCCACGCTTTTCTTTATAGTTATTTAAATAGTAGTCTAATTTATTTTCTACATTTTAGTGCACTAGTACATAAAAGCTTGTTATTAAACCGTTTTTTATGAAAAAAAATTATAAATAACAATCGTGGAAAGTGTTTTCACGTCGAAAATGTGTCAATGTTTTTCTAGTTTTAACCTTAATCACAATTTGTTTGTTGATATCATTTATCTCGAATCAATATGCCGCTACTTAAAGATTTTTGTTTGTCTGTCTCCTTGTCCTTTATGCATTAATACAAAAATTATCCAATCGCCACGAAACATTGGGAATTCGTTTATAATAATCCAGACAAACCTCTACTGACCCTGAAATTTCCTAACACAACCCCACACATGAGGAGCAGTGCCTCTCCCCTCGCAAAGAATCGAGAAAGAAATTGTGACTCTTGCAAAGTTTTCTTTCATTAAATATTTTTAAAAATTTTCTTCGGAGAGCGGCCCCTTGACAGTAAGGCGGTTCGGTTTGCCACCCAATGTTTCCCAGCGGCTTTCTTAGCATCTGGGGTCAGTTAATTCAACGGTCACACTGCACATGTGCCCCGGCCTCCCCCCTCCCCACCCGTGAGCACTACGGCACATAACCTGTTTTAATGAGCGCCATGTCCTAGGGATACCGAGGGCTACTATATTCAATGGCTAAAGAAAATAAGATAAGGGATGTCCTCCAGCCGCCTCGGCAGTAGTATACAGTTGTGCGCCCTAAGTCTCTCCATTATGATGATGTTATAAAATAAGTTGTAGATATGCCCTTTGGGTCAGTAACTTGGCCATCCAAAGTATCGAACATACAGAAGCAGCTAATGGGATTTCAAGGAACATACTAATCACTTTGCAAATTTATAAGAAAGAAAAAAAATCTAAATAAATCATGAGCAACTTTTTAAAATGTGTATTTGGTTAGAGGCTTCACAAGGTTCGATACACTGGCGTAGGCAGGGGGTGGGGGGGGGGGGGGTCATAAAGGAAATGCCCAAACAAATTCAAATAATTCTCCACAAAAAAAAAACAGTTGTTTTATTTTGGACTTTTCTCTCTTAGATGGGTTGCTATCCCTAGATTTACCAGGATCTGTTTTTTGTTCTTTTAAAAAGGAGATTTTATATTTAATTATTATTTTTTGGACAGGTGACAAGATCCATGTGATCGGGGGGTCAAATGTCGAGACAGGTGACCCGGTTCTAATGACAGAACACTTTGACCTGGTCAAGGGCATATGGCAGGATGATTTCCTCTTCAAGAAATGTAAACTTTTTTTATTGCCTTATAACCGGATCATTAGTCACGCTGAGAGCCGTGTTCCATTGTTTTAGTAATTACGTATAGAGCTAGGGGTGGGGGGGGGATAGAAAAACTTAATTTATAAGGGAAAAATAATGCACCATAACTAACAGTGGTCTCACTTTTAATTACATATCTCTACACGTATCATAGTTGTTTCACTTATTAAACTTTATACATATAACAATCTCACTTTATATATGCCTACATATGTCATATCAGCCTCACTTTAGTTACATATCTTTACACGTATCAAAGTATTCTCACTTCATATATCATGGCAGTTTCACTTTAATTATTTCTCCCTACATATACAACAGCGGTCTCAATTTATTTACATATTCCTACAAATATCATAGCAGTCTCACTTTAGTTATGTATTCCTACATACATCATAGCAGCCTCACATTATTTACATATCTCCACACATATCACCATCAACTACTCACCATTTACTCACCATTGTTGTGTTGTACACATGTACATACATGTTGTACATATATATTTATTTCGCCGTCAACGTAAAAGTTGAAGTCTTACAGTAACTGGTGTGTTTTCTGCTCATGCACGTGCAGGTGACGTGTCCAACGTGAGCTGTGTGCTGGTGGACGTGCCTAAAGTCCCCATGGAGGAGCGGAGGATAGTCCAGAAGCTTCGATGGGTCATGTGGTGACGTCACATCAAAACAAATGTTTATATTATTTATGAGCTAGCATGAAGAATGTATAAATGTTGTCACGTATGGACCACAATATCAACATAATTAAATGTAGCCAGTCCCCAAAAACAAAGTCCTCGAATCACTAATTTATTCTTTAATTTGAGTGAAATCCAAATTGTGCAATGTTTTTTCTTCTTATTTTTTTTTACGGGTCGTCTTTAAAAAACGTCACACTTTTTTGGAGGATTTTAAAATCCACTCATCCCCACCGCCACACCTCGTCACAAAAACCCAAACCCCTCCTTTTTTTTAAACATCGATTTCCTTCAAAAATATTCAGTGACCTCGATCAACATAGAGTATTTTGATCAATTTCTATTACAATTTACGAAAACAGTTTTTCTAAAATGCAATATATAAATACAAAAGTATGACGTCACTATCTCAGCCCATCTCCCCACTGCCACTTAACACACCGTTACAAAATTACAAATCCCCTTCCCCGTAGAATAAGATTTTCCTTTAGACTTTTTATTCTCGGCGTGGGGGGGAGGGGGGGGGGGACAACGACACAAAGAAACAGTTTCTAGAAGTGTGACGTATTTTATGGATGACTCCAAAACTTTGTAGTCTATGAGTGGCTGCTGTTGATGTAAAGAATTAAATCAAAGTTATGTTCAAGCAAAGTGGCCGGAGTGGTCTAGCGGTAGAGACTGCTAACCCGTAAGTCTCGAGTTCCAAACAGGGTTCAAGTCAGTAGACCGTCCCTGAGTCCACTATACTCTAATGCAGGGGTCTCCAAACTTTTCAGCCCGAGGGCCGCATTAACTATCAAATTTCAGTTCGGGGGCCAGTTTCTTCCAGGAATGTCTTTGATTTTTCTGGGCAAAGTTCCTCAGCCATCACCAACAAACGATTTTTCCTGGGACAAAAATCTCCGCGGGCCGGATGAGAGGACTTCGAGGGCCGCATCCGGCCCGCGGGCCGTAGTTTGGAGACCCCTGCTCTAATGGGTACCTAACTCACGTTAGGGAAAGTAAAGGCGGCTGGGCATGATGCTGACCACACTATCTCTTCATATGTCGATGTCACAGAAACAAGTGAACCCTACTTCACTTGCCCTATAGACCGTCAGGTTTGAAAAGGGAGCTAACTTACGGTCAAGCAAAAGATGAAAGAATATTCATTTATCTGAATAAAAAACATTTGAACATTTCCTAATTTGATTGTTAGAAACCTGAAGGTCTCTGTTACAGATGAATCAACCTACAGTAGTTGATTGGCCAGTCGGGGGATTAAGTTTGAACGGGAACCTTAATCTGACCCCGGCATTGGCATGTTTTTATATTTTACGGCACTTTTATCTGTGTCTAAAAGCCTAATGTAGGCCTACGTATACACAGTTACCCTATACTGCACTATAAATACGGTACTTTAAATGAAGAAAAATACGGTAACTAAAAATACGGTATTAAAAATAAACGAGCAGACCCGCGACGTAGCATACGCCGCTATTAAGTTTAAGTCCTATTTTTCAGTAATTCATAATTTGTGTATTCGACACTACCAATGTTGCGACTGAAAATATTTTGCTTTAAAAGACTATCAATAGCTATTGAAGGACGATTATCCTCACCCTCACTTTCCACTCCTCCCCCCCCCCCCCCCCCCTCTGCCTCAGTGAAAGCAGTCGTCTATGACGACAGTTTACAGGCGACAATGTTTCCTTCGTTTCAAATCGTTTAAAAGCTAAATTATCTGCCCCTAATAGCCGCCACTACGATTGTAAACAGTGATATGCATAGAAAGCGGGATAGGAACGGTTAAGCTGCGTGGTGTCTTGTATGGTCCCCATGAAGAGAATTATATATATAGATAGATACGGTACTTTAAATTGGTACTATAAATATGTAATAAATACATGATAAGCAACGAATCTAACATGTCGGATATCTAATCTAACTACTAGATAAAAAGCAATAAAATATTATTAGTTATTCAGCAATATGTTTATTTTCAGCATCAAATGTTCTCTACAAAGAGTTATAACGGTACTGTATAAAAGACAAGGAAATGTCTGTATTCAAACGCCTCTAAAAACAGCATCAAAATAGCAATGTTATTTTGTACACGAAATATGTCAAAATGTAGGCATGATGGAAAATGTAGGCATGTATCTTGCTCATTTAAATTTCAGATGAATTAATGTTATTATATCCGAATCAAGAAAATGTATTTAATTAATTCGCCTACGCTAATTTCCATTTATAAATTTACGTTAACCAAGAAGGATAACCTATAACTTTGATCCGAAACATGGCTACATGTACAAAGAAATTCAAAAATAATTTTGAAAAATATAAAACATTGTAAATTAAAATTAAAAAAAAAATTTATGTCTTTTAAAAATGATTGCCTAACATTGGTTTTGTAATTTTAAATTATTATCAGGCTCAAATTTTTATTGCAAACAGCTAGTTGAATTAAAGAATTTTCTTGTAGAGATGAGGAAAAAGTTCAGTTTAAATAATTATCCAACGTGGTTGTGTCGGTAAAGCTCATGGTTTCTAAACCGAAAAGTCTCGAGTTCGAACCCTCGGGCAGACGAGGCTCGTTAGCTGGGGACAGCCACTCTTCTAGGAGAGACAACTCCAAAATTAAACAACTACTGCCTTGTAGTTTGTTCTTGGTTGGACAAAGGCTATGGAAGCAAATCCAAAAAGAAAAGCAGGCTGAAATCGGAGTCAATGGCCTCAATGGCGCATAACCAGTTGACACGTAACGCTTAATTGTGTTGGAGGCGTGGTCGAGTCGGCAAAAAGCTCATGGTTGATAAATTCGAACAAAGTCTCGAGTTCAAACCCACTGGCAGATAAATCTCGATCCCCTTCAACACTAATAATTAAGAACGAAGAAGAAAAAAAGATTTGACTGTTAGCGCATACTCCGATTAGCTCTGTTTATTTGATTTAATTAAATAATTGAATGAAACACAAACTAGAGTTTTCTATTAAGGAAATTAAAAATATTAAAATTTGTGTATACAAATTTTAGTTTTAAAACTTTGTTTAACATTCTTAATTTTTAATTGGACGATAAATTTAATTAAAGGCTAGCTGAATTAAAAATATTAATTTTCATATATTTAAAAATTTAGTTTTATCAATGTTGTGTCTGTTCTGAATGTTTGGGTTCATCATTTGTTTGGTCTCTATAATAAATGCATAAGCATTTTAATAAATTATTACATTTAGATAACTAGACGAACCATCGTATTAAAATGATAACTGCTTGTAGAAAATCACACAACAGATCAGGGGCGGGTAAAGCTTGAACAAGGTTTCAGTTTTTACCTTATCATCTCCCCCTACACCAAACCGACACTGATAGTAGTATTTTTTACCTTTTAAATGTGTGACCTAATACTGTACTAAAAATACGGCACTTTAAATATGGCACTGTATATAATATAATATGATGTCATAAATACAGTATATTATATATTCAAATTTATTTACATTTATTAAAATTTATTTTAAAAAAACGGTTACAATTGTAGGAACAAAGGCCTTTTTTCACATTGGCCGTTTAAACAAATAAAACAATTTAATAACACATAGCAGTAACATAGCCAGTGGCGGAACTAGAAAAAAGGGGCCACCCCGCAAAAATTTTTTTTAGCCCCCCCCCCATATAAATATATAGGCCTATATATATATATATATATACATATATATATATATATATATATATATATATATATATATATATATATATATATATATATATATATATATATATATATATATATATATATATATATATATATATATATATATATATATATATATATATATATATATATATATATATATATATACTCAAACGCAGCATACGATCATAGGATACTTATTCATGCTGTTTTATTTAATTAAAACAAATTACAACATCATGTCATGAGTGTAAGTGCATTAGTCTGTTTTTGAAAATTAGTTTTATATTATCTCTGCCATATGACGTTGACATCATATTGGTCAAAAGAATATAAAACATGAAAGCTTTCTGTAAATAATGGTGTCTCGTGTCATGTATATTTTTATCTTTTTTTGTGTTTATTTTATTAATTTTAAATACAAATTTATTTTCATACTGTGTCATTCTTTAGTAAATACGTTATAAAAAAATAATAGTAAAGAGAAGTAATTGCGTTTTAATTTGTTTAGTACAAATATATTGAAAAGGGGCTTATGAGCATCACTATTTGACTATTTAAAAAAGGGAAATAAGTCATGGAAGTGGTTTGAACGTTTGCTTATCTTTGATAAGTTTCATTGTAGGAGAAAGAGGACTCGGCTTTCACAGTGGTTTAAAAACGAAGGAAAAATGAGCGTGGGGTGGTGTCTATAGAATAAAGATAATCCAACCGCAGCTACGGTAATCTTTTTTACAAAACAAACATTAAGTCAAAAATGCAAGAACATTTTTTTAACTATAACAATTTTTTTTTATGGTCGGCCGTGGGCCCCTAAATGGCGTGGGCCCCCCGCATTGCGGGGTCTGGCGGCACTGTAGTTCCGCCCCTGAACATAGCACTAAAAATGTGGAATAAAGAAACAATGTTACATAGTTATAATACCCAATGAGATAAAAAAAAAGAGAATTAATACTAATAGTTTCGCTGTCTCTCTATGTATCTATCTGTCTGACAAGAACGCTCTAGAGAAAACACAAGGAATTTAAAAACCTGCACAGTAATTCGAAAAACGAAATATGACGTCGACACATTTAGCATAGAGTAGAAAATAATCTCAAACCCAGAGAGTGCTCACAGTTATATGACGTCATTGATTTTCGCGTTAACATTGAATAAAAAGGAAATGTTGTCTAATCTTAATGGTTTGCGTGAAGAGTTTCTTGCATACAGTTCTTCGTGTAGGGGCGAAGCCCCACCCCCCGCGTAAGAACGTCTGAGCCCCCCTCCCCCTCCCCAACTCAAAAGAAATTTCTTCATC